CGTCGTTCTTCACCATTGCATCGTCGTTTTGTCGTCGTTCATGCACGTCATCTCATCAGCCAAATACATGGGCGACTGGCTTATAGAATGGAGCACTTGGACTTCTTCTGCTTCTGCTGGACGGGTCTGGGGTTGAGGACAGCGCTGCAACGGGGTTAGCACCTATTTTGTAGTAAAACAAGGGAAACCGGAGCCGTCTCGTTGGACATACCGAATGGCCTCGTCAAAGACGCTCTTGAGGTTGCGCTGGGTCAGGGCCGAGCACTCGAGGTACTTGTGTGCCCGGATCTCCTTGGCGCACATGAGCGCCTGGTCGTACGACACCGGGTCCATGCGCTTCTGACGCAGGGACTCCAAAGTGGCAGGATCCTCGCGGAGATCTAGCTTCGTGCCGACGAGGATGATAGGCACGTTCGGTGCGTGATGGTCGATTTCGGGGTACCACTGGTGTTGTGTTAGTACTTCGGTTCGTCGTACGCAGTCTCGGTACAGAGCGTCCGCCAGGAAAACGCATGACATACCTTAGCCTTGACGTTGTCAAACGACGGAGGGCTGACAATAGAGAAGCAAATCAGGAAGACGTCGGTCTGAGGGTACGACAGCGGACGCAGACGGTCGTAATCCTCCTGACCGGCCGTATCCCAGAGGCCCAGGCTGATGGGCTTGCCGTCGACCATCACGCTGGCCGAGTAGTTGTCGAAAACAGTGGGAATGTACTCGCCGGGGAACGCATTTGTTGTGTACGAAATAAGAAGACATGTCTATCGAATTCGAAGTATTAGTGGTGCTGCAAAGCCGCCTAAAAGAGCTGGACGAAGAAGAAGAGCTTACCTTGCCGACGGCACCATCACCCGTCACGACACACTGTGTACGAGGGTTTTGTTAGCCGTTCGTTCGATATTGAAACGAAAAGTCTGCACCGCGGCCTTTTTTGGAGTATCGTTTTGTGGTGCTCCGTATGGGTAGGAATGGAGGCGCACCTTCAAAGACTGAACACCGGGAGCTGCCATCTTGATTTTCGGGTCGTAGACTGCTTAGACACCAATTTGTCCGATGTCGTTGAAATGAGGTTCGAGAGTGGCGCAGAGGAGAATGTAAGAAAGCCGATGTAGTGTCGAAATTCCGAGGATGCAATTCGATGCTTGTAGAAGTCGACCTTCGCTCGATCGGATTATATGTGTATGGACGGGAGAAATAACGAAGTAACGTCGAGCAAAGCCGATCAAACTTGGCTGCAGAGCGAAAAAAAAGAGGTCGGTGGCGGACGATCGGAAAGTTTGCGGTCTGTGATATTAGGTACGGAAAAGAAGGAACTGCTGCAGAAAATGTGGTGTTAGAAACCAAGTATAGTTCCAGTGTTATGAATATCAGAGGCTCAGAGGCTCAGTGGTTCAGAGGTTCTCGAATCGCGAATCTGTATCTTGAGCGGTTCTCCTCGTTGCGGCTTTAGGTTCGCTTTTATTCCGAACCTCACTTTGTTGTCTTGGCTTGTCTCTGTTGTCTTATCCCATTGCGCCCCCCATATTTTCTGGGTTTCCCATTCTCTCCGTACTTTTCTCTTCGTTCCTTGGGCTGTTCGCAATGGGGGGTCCAATGGGAAGGAGAAGAAAAAACAGGGCAGGGAACACAGTCCCCCTGAGGCAGGTTTGGGGTGGGTGGGAAATGCGGAAGAATGAACAAACAGTGGGGAAGTAAATGCGGCGCCTGGTGCACTAAACGTGGCTCGAGCCGCTTTTGTTAGGTAAAGTGTAAGATAGTGGTGTTACGGCCAGGGGTGGCTGGAAGCACTGTGAAGCCACTCGAGTAGAGGTGCCAGGAGATCGGCTTGTACGGCGTAGACCAGTGTGAACGGAGAAGCAGAACGTCACCGTAGGCATGATGCGCCGTAATGCCACGAACAGCCTCGAGGACTCAAGAGGCTGTTGGTGGATACGGCGATGGAAGATGGAACGTTTTGGGAATGGCCGAAGTGGAGCAGAGGGGAAAGGTAGAAGCAAATCTGCACAGGGGAACAAAAAGTATCCCTACTCCGTCGAAGAAGGAGAGTAGGAGAGGCCGAGGCGGAGAGGTCCACAATGGAGCTGTAGGCAGAGCTCGAATCAAGTCGTTTCAGCGGTTGACACGCCTGGTCAAAGGATGTTTTTACTGGGGAAGCGGCGCGGCCAAGGATGAGCAGGAAGTTGGTTGCACTGTAGGGCCATTCAGGCGATGGGAAACATTGGAGCATGACGAGGGATCGGTGCCTGGGGGTGTGCGTGAAGAATCAGAGAAATGGAAGACTTGCGGATGCAGCTGCGAGACCCAAAGTAACAGCAAGGTGAGATGAGAAGGGGGGAAGGTGGACGGCGAGAGCCAAAGAGACAGCGCAGAGAACAGCCAGAGATGCCGGGACAACGGGCTCGGATGGATAGCAAGACAAGAGGCTCCGAGAGAAGGCGGAGACGAGACGAAAGCGATATTTGTCGTCACCGGCCCTGAGCAGAGAGCAACAACAAACGCATTGGAGCGGGGAGAGAACGGCGTACCTTGTGCGGTGTGTGCGTGTGTGATTGTTGCGCCGGCGGGCGTTTTCGTCAATGTCGTTGCGGTACGGCGTCCAAAAAAAACACGAGAGTGATTATGTCGGAGGTGATCGACGACGAGAGGCTGAGGCTGAACGTGAAAGGAAGAGGTGAGGAGAGGACGGGGACAGGAGAGATAGGTGAACGAAAAGGGCGGAGAGCGGCAGGCGGAAAGGGGCAGAATTATGGTTGGCGGTGACGGGTGCGTCTGATGGGGGTAGGTGCGACCAGCCGTACTACGGCTTTGAGGAAGGGACGAAAGAAGGGGTAGACTAAGAGAGGGGAAACGGCAAGCGCTCAACCCACACAATACGAGCAAAAATAGGACGGGGCAGACCGGTGAAGGCCGCGTCTTAGGCAGGAACAAGGCCTGGGTCGAAAGGGTGCTAGAGCGAGTCCAAAAGGGGCGCCGCCGATGGGACTGGCTGCTGTTGTTTTGGCGTGCTTTTGGTGAGGACTTTCCTGCCCCCCACTGGCCAGGAATGTCTACGGGTCGGCGCTGTATCTTATTTGGGGTCCGCGCTTCAGCACATGTGGGTCGACCTAGGACCTTTTTCACTCGTTGAGTACCTGTGGAGCTGCCTGGCTGAGACAGCGTTACTGCCAAATCACAGGCCAGTCCTCGAGCTGCCTTACACGCAAGGCAAAGAGACACGGCAAGCGGTGCTCATAAAATATATCTGAAAATGATTTTGGACAATTCGTACCGGCAAAAGTGACCGGTGCACTCGGCCTCCGTGCTCGCCTGGCCTTGTGCACTGATTTGGCACGTCTTTGATCGACCGGATGGCAAGTAGCAAAAACATATGATCGAAACAAAGCGGCACGTTGTGGATGGATACAGTGTTACAGAGGGAAGGGGGGGAAGGGCAGAAGGGGACGATGATGAGAGGGTGAGAAGGAGACAAAATTATATAAAGACTGGTGAAGGTATGGGATTTGTCACAAAAGACAGAAAATGAAAGAATCCCATGTTGTCGCGGGCCGTCCATAAAATGTCACAAAAGAGAGCGAAGACAGACGGCGTACATCACTCTCACGGCAATACCTCTCACCCCCTGCCTTACTGGCGTTTCGATCGAATGTGTGTTTCGGACTTTGAATGGGCCGGTAAGAGGGCGGCCTGTGAATCAATGTACCCGTGCATAGAAATTTTGCAGAGAGGTACGTCAATGGATGTAAGATACAGCCCCTAGTAGTTTGTACGTCTTCTCATTAGCAGTTTCGATGTTTCTCTGCTGGGCCCCTTCTTGGAGCCCCCTTTTGTGGCCAGAGGACCACGATGTTTTGACACAGATGGTGCCTCAAATGGCGCCTGATCGCAGAGCCAAAGGGTAAAAAGGGAGACGAAAAAGGGGAGCGAGGGAAGACAAAGAGAAGGCCAAAGGCCAAACGAAAGGGCCTGCCTGTCAAGGCGGAAAACAGGAGCTGATGATTGGCCGTTTCAGATACTGCACACAACAAGGGGTGGCTTTGGGGATTCGACAAAGTCAGAGAGTAGGACGTAGACTGCATGAGAGACCTTTTGGCCACTGACTTTTTGGCCACCATTTGCTTGCTTCTTCCAAACATAGAGACGCATGTTGGACAAACCAATGAACTGTGCTCACGCGGGTGTCTTTTGGATGTTTGGTTGCTGGCTGCAGCGCGAGTCTGTGCACGAAGTCAAAGAGCACATGATAATAGGCCAAATGGAAGAGCACATGAAAGGGTTCACATTTAGGAAGCTAACGGACCTGTTGGCCTGGATAGCCTGATCTCTTCCGTTCTGGCGCGATGGGCACCGGCCACACCGGGGGAGTGTTTCTAAAACGTGCTCTACATAGAGGTGCGACCTTGGTGAGTTTGCCGTCAGGTCAGCTTCATGCCTGTGCTGTCTATCCACATGTCAGTTTCGACAGCTGTGTTACGTTGGGTACTGCAGTACATTTGTCCGCAGGTGACAATGGAACAAGAAACGCGGGTTTGCTCCTAAATGTGCCGACCCATCCACGGGGCTCGAGAGGTCCGGCTTGGCGACAGAAAAGGTGGGAAAACAGGGGAGCAGTTAACGAAAGCAGCTCGCAATACAATCGCAGCTGTATTGGACGTCGTAAGTTGCGAGCTGAAAGCTATCTGCCGCATTGCACCTTCCCATTCAGTGCCAGCTTTGCGGTTGTTGGTCGTTGCTACTACATTTTGTCTGTTTTGACGCTAATTTCTGGAAGTCGCAATGTAGCTCCTTCCCGCTCTGAGTTAACGGCCACCCCCACTAAACCATGTGGCGGCTGGCATGTCGACGCGCCATGTCAGACGCGTCCCCAAAACGGAAAGCATCACGTTGCAACCGCACACAACCAACCTCAACATTGACATTGTGCATTCAACACAACGCACCGGCTCCACGAAATCATCACGGCGCATGTTGCTCAACACACCTCTATTGACAATCGCGTCGCGATGAGTACACCAACGGCGGCCTCCGCCACCCGCGGCGCGGGCTCTGCCGTCCAGACACCAACCACAGGCGGACGACAGCGACACAGCAACAACGGGCCCAGCAGCACCGGACCAGCCTCGGCCGGCGGCACCTACCGTACCCCCAACACCGCCAGCAAAGCCAATCGACGGACACCGGGCACCGCAGGACGTACACCGCATGCACGTGCTGCGCGGCTCGCGCTCGACAGCCGCCGCACGGCCATCTTCACGCCGGGCGGCCGCCAGAGCCGGCGCAAGAGCGGCCGCATGCTGCGTGACTCGCCGCGAGACCTGCTGCGCAACCTGAGTCGTCGGTTGGCACCCGTGTCCCAGCCGATTGCGTCGTCCTCGTCACCGGGCAGCAGCGGGGCAGCGCGCAGCAGAGCCGGCGGCACCGGCAGCCGCTGGATGTGGACATGGAGATGGACATGATGGGGGCGGCAGCCGCAGGGGCAGACAGTAGCACGGCCTCGGCGACGCGACGCCGCACGATCCGGAGTGTCCTGGGCATGGACGACGACGACGACGACTCGCTGCCGCTGGACCGTCCACGGATGTCGCTCAATATCGAAGACAACGACAACGACGACGATCTGCGGCCACACCGATCCTTGATTCTCGAGAATGGTGGCGGAAGCGACGACGCCGAAGCCGAAGCCGACGCCGACCTGGCCAACTTTACCATGCGGTCGATTGAGCTGGCGCGGCGGGCGGCGACGCAAGAGCAGCTGCTGCAGGCGCGGCGGTTTTCCAGAGCAAGCCTGGGCGTCCGCAGCAGTCTTGGCAGTATGCGCATGAGCGACTACATGGACGAGTTTGGCCGTGGTGCGGACGGTGGCGGCAACGAAATCGGCGGTGGCGGCGACGACGACATTGCTGGACGGCTCGACCAACAGTCGGCCTTCTTCCCGGAAGGCGCATTCGACAACCTGCTGCCCGGCGAGTCGGCAGACATGACGTTTGAGCGTGTCGATTCGGACACGGGCGAGCAACATGAGGCGCGAATCGGCGCAGACGGCCGCGAGAGCGGCTTTGGTGTGGTCGACCTGGGCCTGGACGGCGGCAACGAGACTACGTTTATGCTGGGCCAGCAGTCGCCCGACCGGACTTTGGGTACCCTCTTGCTGGAAGGCGATGGTGAAAACGAGCCCGGTCTGCTGGACAACAACCATGATGCTGTCGCGGGGGACTTTGGAGCCGCGCTGGATACCAACCTGGATAACAACTTTGACGACTATGGCGGCGGCAACGAAAACGGCGGAAACTTTTGGGACGAGTCGGACTCCAACAACGAGAATGACCCTGAAGGTGTGGCCGCCTTAGGTCACAATGCTGCTGCAAAGGCTCCGGGTGTCACTGGAAGCGGGCAAGAAACGGGCGCGGATGCGCGTGGAGCAGGAAAACGGATGAAACTGTCTGCCCATGGCATCGCGTACCCGTCGCTGCCTGTAGGCGTGATCAAGCGCATTGCACAGACATTTGCCCAGAGGTCCGGTGCAGCTGGACCGGGGAAGGCGAAGCTCAGCCGGGAGACGGTGGCGGCTCTGAGCACCGCGTCGGACTGGTTCTTTGAGCAGGTGGGCGTCGATTTGCAGCGGTACGCAAAGCACGCAGGCCGCAAAACGATTGACGAGAGCGATGTGCTTCTTTTGATGCGAAGGTGTGTGGAAACGCCGTCCTATTCTGCTGCTATTTTACTGCTATTGTCCTTTTCCTTTACTTTGTCACTAACTTTCTATAGACAACGACAAGTGAACTCGGCAGTCACGCCATTCTCGTTGGCACAACGTATGTTGCCGCGAGAGCTTTTACAAGAGCTGCGCATGATTCCCGATGCACCCGCATTGAAACGGCGGCAGCAGAAGAAAACCACACGGCGGGTTTCGTCGGGGCCGGGCCGGATAGGAAATAAAAGGGCGCATGACGTCACATGAACAGACGTCTTGGGACATTTGCGATCATCTCGAGCAATGGATGAGAGAGAGTCAAGTTCTTTTGGTATTCTATTACAGTCGTCCACTTTCCGAGACGGCGCTCGTTGTCTACCAGCTCTTGTTCAGTCGGACCCGTTTTTTGATGTCCGAGGCCGGCTTCTTGGCAACCATCCACAACATAATAGCGGTTGCCAGAGACAAGCTGTACCTGTGGGAGGGGTTAGTCAGGAAAGAGGATGCCCGTGAAGGAAGGGACGCGGACATACCACGTGAAAATGTACTGGGCATGGTTGTTGCGGAGGTTGACCTCGGCCGGCTTGCCAATGGGAACGCCCTTGGCCTCCATGTCGTACACCTGAAGCAGATCCGGTTCTGCCACGTCGTTAGCGTAACGTTCCTAGCAAATTGATACCCCACAAATGCAGCATGAATTTGCATACCCATTGTTGCCTCCACCCACACCGGCAGACTGCTTGTCAGCTTGGCCATGCCCTCCACGTCCGGGAAGTAGAACTCGCCCTTGTCCGGCCGGTTCTCAGGTGTGAAGAAGTTGCGTTTCCACGGCGCCCGCAGCATGCCCTCCACGCGGACCAGCCCACGTGGCAGAGCACCCACGCCCACACGCGCCCGGGCCCGCTGGCTCCGCTGCTCGCGCGAGATCCAGCCGCGGTTGACGAGGATCGTCGTCTTGGTCTCCGTCGCAGCCCCTGGGTTCCTTGCGTCCACAATCTCCAGCGGCGTCACCACAAAGTAGCCTGCCACACCCTCGCGCACGCGCGGGCCCACGAGCATCTCCTGGTCGTGCCGGAACGTGCCCACCGCCACGACGCGGCGATAATCAAAATCGCTGGCGCCGCCGCCGCCGCCGCCGCCACCGCCCTGGACGCTCTCCGCCGACCCGCCGCGGCTGTGCGCCACGGCATCGGCCACGTTGTGCGGGTTGAGCGGCAAGGGTGCGCGCACGAGGCGGTCCTCGCACTTGGCCAGCAGGTCCGTCTTCCATCGCAGACGGAAGACCTGCCAGGTGCCGAGGGCAAAGGCCGTAATGGGAATCAGGGCCAGGACAATGAGACCGGGGCCGTGCCGCCGGCCGCCCGACCGCACGAGCTCGGGCGGGTTGTCGAGGATGGACGTAAAGTTGGGGTCGTCGGCCGGCTGCAGAGGCTCGGCGGCGTCGGCGGGTCGCGGCTGCTGTGACCGGCCGCGGGCGGCGACCGTGGAGAAGGACGTGGAGCGTAACGCCGCGCGGCGAGCAGTGCGACCAGACGCTAACTGGCGCAGGCATTGGCTACATGGTGTCGACATGGGTGCCGAACCTTGCAAGGACCGTGCCCAAGAAGCTGCCGATGCTGAGGTGGTACTGAGAGAGCGTCGGCAGATTCGGGTCACCGCGGGCTTTGCGCTGTTGGTAGCCGTGGTAGCAAAGCGCCGCAATGCAGGCTGCCATATTCGTTGCGGTATTATTGGATTCATGGTCCAGAGGTGTGCCGAGGCGATTGAACCAACATTTGCGTCGCCAATGGGTCGCCGTGGGGTTACATTCGTTAGGTCGACATCGCATGAGGTTTCCAAAAACTGGCGATGCTAATACAGTGGGTCGATTTTGTTAGCTCCACAGCTCCGTTACAGCGATATTGGCGTATCCCATACTGGTCACATTTCACATGTCGCATTTCATACTGTCTTTCGAAAATGAACAACCCAAACAAACAGATAATCCTTGCTTGGAGTGACAAGCATATGTCCAAAAACTGCAAATCTAAAACCATGTGTCCAAATAAGAGAGCAAATAATAATACAAGTCGCGCGTGACGCGTAAATCGTCGTAAAATCTGAAGTAAAGCAAACCCGTTGTGAAATGGGATAACAAAGCAGCCGCCGAAACACAAGCCAATATTTGTCGTAAAGAGATTGCCGCCAATAAGAAATTAGTGCAGTCGCCGCTGATAATAGTTGGGCTTTTCGTTTGCCCCCATTTTCATCAGTTCCTCCTTGATAAGTCGTCGCCGCTCGGCCTTGCTGACGGGCTTCGACGTCGGCTTCTGTTTCTGCGTCACTTCTTCTGGGACGACACCCATGCCGTCGGCGTTTTGTTCTCTCGGTGCCTTGTCGCCTGCTAGCCGCTGCTGTGTCTGGTCCTCGGCTCCCGGTCGACTCGGCGTCACCTCCACGACAATATCATTGTGGTCTTTGTTTCTGGGCCCGCCGACCAGCGGGCTTGCCTGGCTCTGGCTCGGGGCGTTGTCTGCGACAATAATCGCGTTGCCGTTCTCGTCCACGTCGGTCTCAATCGTCACAATCGTTCCGTCGGCTAGCTCGGTCGTCATCTTGTTGAAGCGGTCGGGCAAAAAGATCTTGGGCGGCTCGGGTTTCGGCATGCGAATCGACTGCCGCAGCTGCCGCAGTGTGCGCTGTTGCAAGACATAGCCGCTGATGAAAAGGGCAAAAGTGCACAGAATGACTGGTCGCGTGGGTTAGAGGATGACAAACAACTGGAATGTTTCGTCAACGGGGATCGCCGAGTTCGATGCACCTACCAATGCTCGCCGAGACCGCGACCGAGACTTGTGACGACGTTAAGAGCATTCTCAACCATCCGCCTGCATCTACCGTCTGCGAAATTAAAGTTATCGTCTAATATCGTGCGTATGTCGTTTTGCTGTAGTAAAATCGTGGTTGCAGAGAGACAAGAAACAGCCAAAATGTTGTGTCGCAAAAGTGAGGTATGTCCAGTGTGTCTCCAGCCGCGCTTTTGCTTGCTAAAAAGAACAGCTCATTTATCAGTCAATGCCGTCGATCACAAAACGATTGTGCGAGCTGCGCGCGCCCTCGACCATGTCGCTACCCGATATATTAAAGTGGTGGTGGCGGCTCGTCATTGCGCTTTTATTTACGCAAGTGGCCGGGCAACTATCGATAAGCACCAAAGCACCCCCACCCAATCACCAAAATTCTTGTAGTGGCGTTTAGCACAGCTACAGCTCCAGCGCCACAACGTCACCAAAAAATCATCTTCAATTATTTCCTTTCGAACCGACGCGCCCTCACTCACGCATCCGCCCTTCACTCGTGCACGCCGAAACCACGGTGATTGCGTACATACCCACATTCACAATGTCCCGGTCCGGTGACTTCCACCAGGCCGACGAGCGCCGCTTTCTCGACGAACGCGGGTCGTCGGTCTCGGTCGCGCCCAACGGCCTCAACCCAGCCACGATTATGGAGAAGGCCGTGCGCGAGCGCATCGTCGACAGCTACTTCTGGAAAGAGCAGTGCTTCGGCGTCAACGAGGCAGACATTGTCGACCGCGTTGTCGAGCACGTCAGCTGCATCGGCGGCACCACCGGCACGACCCAGAAACCCACACCGTTCCTGTGCCTCGCGCTCAAGCTCTTGCAGCTCGCGCCCGACGACGCCATCCTCCAGGCCTACCTGAGCCAGGGCGGTGACAAGTTCAAGTACCTTCGCGCCCTCGCCCTCTTCTACATCCGCCTCACCCGACCCGCCGCCGACGTCTACACGACCCTCGAACCCTACCTGGCCGACCGACGCAAGCTGCGGCGAAAGGGCCGCGCAGGCACACAGCTGACATTTGTGGATGAGTTTGTGGACGACCTACTGGTGAAGACGCGGGTGTGTGCGACGAGTCTGTGGAAGTTGCCGCAGCGCGAGGACCTGGAGGATCTAGGCAAGCTGGAGCCGCGGGTGAGCGCGTTGGGCGACATTGACGACATTCTGGACGAAGATGAGGAGGACGATGAAGATAGGAAAGACGACGAGAGCGAAGGCGAAGATGAGAGCGACGGAGCTCAGAGACAAAACGGTGGCGGCAGAGACTACGACAGCGATCGGCAAGATGAGGACGACAGGCAGCCCGACAAGAGAAGGCGACGAGGCGGCGGCGATAGTGATGACAGTGAAGAGGATGAAAGTGACAGACGGAATGGCTCGTCGAACGGTCGGAGAGAAAAATGGCGGCGAACGCCAGAATCAGAATCAGATTCGGACCGATCACGAGGTGACAGAAGATGATTGACAAGCTGGAGTTTGCACGATATAGAGCGTCGGTAATGGTGCCTGGTGACATACTTGCAAGATACAATAGCAAGAAACGATACCCATTGCAGCGGAAGGCTGCTCAAATATTAAACTTGTTTGATTTGTTTCATCGTCGTCGTAATGTGACACATGGTCTGGGGGTAGCAGTAAGCCAGGTTGTATAATTTCTATGTAGGAAATGCGAAAGCCATCAAGCAATGGTCAGCACATACATCACTGGATGCAAATTTGTCAGTTGTAGATCATGGTAAGTATAAGTATAATTATATGCACTCAAGTGACATCAAAGCCCAGAAGAACAGAAGATACGCTTGCAACTTACATACTGGAATCCGTATGAATAAAGCGCAAAGAAATTAAATGAGACGCAAATAAACCTTTGCAACCCCGAGAAGTATGAAAGTGAAATGTCTGAAAAATAACAGAGCAACAAGATAGCTTTTTGTCGATTTGATGTCTTTTGTATATATCATCGAATATGAAAACAAATGCGACGGTGCAAAAGTGCGCAAATGCGTGAAATCAAGCCAGACAAAAAGAAATAGAAAAATACAACAATTAAGAAAAAAAAAAACACCAACGCCTGCCAAAGAATTAAAAAAATGCTACCCGTGGCTGGGGATCAACTCCAAGTGACACCGGCGTGCGCCCCAGATGCCAATCCCGACCAAAAACACAACGACACCCCAAAAAATCCAGAGCGTGCCGTCCTACCGCTTGCTCTTGCCTTTGCCCTTGCTCTTGGTGGCGGCCACATCTGCTTTGCTGTACGCGCTGCCCTCGTCACCAAAGAGCGACGGGTCGCCCTTGTCGCCGTGTTCCATGAACGCACCGGGATCGGCATTGTCCGCCGGCCGGGCTTCCTTCCCGTTGCCATGGCTGTGGCCATTGTGGCCGGCGCCTGTGGGGTTCTTGCTAAAGATCTTGATGGGGTCGTGGTTGGCGCCGCCGGGGATCTTGGTGATCTCGACACGGTTCAGGGCGCTGATGAGCGTGCGCTCTCGCACGAGGCCGCGGCGGTTCACGGCAAGGCCTGCGACGCCGCCGACCAGGCCGTCGGTGCTGTCGTTGGCGTTGAGCGCGGTCTCGTTCATCCAGGGGTGGGCCATGCACTGGTCAATGGTGAAGCGGCGCTCCGGGTCGACGACGAGCATCGAGTCGATCAAATCGAGCGCCGGGTCGCCCACCGAGTCCCAATAGGGCGAGGGGAACGTGAACCGGCCGCTGCGGATCTGCTGCGACATGTTGAACGGGAAGTCGGGCGAGCGCAGCTCGTCGGAAAAGGGCGGGAAGCCGCACAGGCAAATGTAGAGGACGACACCGAGCGACCAGATGTCGACGGCCTTGGTGTACTTGCGGTGGCGGGTGTCGGCCAGGATTTCGGGCGCGACATAGCTGGGCGTGCCGCAGAGCGTGGTCGTAAAGGACTCCTCGCCAATGATCTTGGCGAGGCCGAAATCGGCCAGCTTGACGTGCAGGTCCCGGTCGACAAGCAAAATGTTCTCGGGCTTGATGTCACGGTGGACAATATTGCGTTCGTGCTTTTCTGAAGTCAGCGGACATGGTTCAAATGGTTCATAGACAAAAGACAGCCAAGGTCAAGGTGAGACGGACCAAATACTTGACACCGGCAAACAGCTGCTTGAACAGCTTGCGCGTATCGCTCTCGCTGAGCTTCGAGTTGAGGACGATAAAGTTGAACAGCTCGCCCTCCGAGGCCAGCTCCAGCACCAGATACACGGCGCTCTTCTCGTTGAACGTGTCCTTGAGGCACAGCACGCTCGGGTGGTTGACGCCCATGAGCACGGCAATCTCCTGTTGCAGACCGTCGGTCTTGGAACGGTCCTCGACACCGGGCGTCTTGGTGAAAATCTTGACAGCGAACCGCTGACCCGTAGCCTTTTCGACGCACAGGTAGACCTCGGCAAAGTGGCCCTTGCCGAGTCGGTTCTGCAGCGAGTACTGCTGGTGGAAGCCGCTGGTGGTGCGTGCCTTGGGGTAGCGGAAGACGAAGCGCGCCTTGTCGAGAACGGCAATCTCGTCCTTCTCCTGCAGCTCGCGGCGCTGATTGCGGCCGACCAGCGCCTCGTTGACAAACGTGCCGTTGCTTGACAGGTCCTCGATAACGGCCACCGTATCGTGGCCCTTGTGCTCGGCAAAAATCAGGCAGTGCCGATTGGAGACGATCGGGTCGTCGATCACGACATCTTGGAGTGGGTGTTAGTCAGACTGACCGGTCCAAATGGAGTCATAACTCTGCCAAAAACTTACCGCACTCGGGATGACGCCCTACTAAGTAGCCCTTGGACGATGGGTGATCGGCGCCGTTGCTCGCGCCGCCCTTCTTGCCCCCCTTCTTCTTCGAGGACGACGACGGAGAATCGCTGTCTTCGCAGCCCACCCGCTTCTTCATGACAATGCTGCGGCTGCCGTAGCGCGCGCCCAGCGGCAACAGGTAGCCCCAGACGCCCTCCTTGACCTCGTCCTTGACTTCGTCAGACAGCGCCGCGTTCGGGTCAATGTATTGCGAGGGCATTGCCTGGGTGTCCTGCGGCGGCGACGAGTACGAGCCGGCCTCGTCGCCACTCCCGCCGACATTGTTGTTGCCGCTGCCGCTGCTGCCGGCGCGCGGGGCTACCTGGCTGGGACGGCCGCCGGGCGGTGTGGCAGTCGGCTCCTTGAAGCGCTGCTCGGATGCCGACGAATCGTCGACGGCCAAGAAGGTGAGGGGCGTGGGCAGCTGGTTCTGTTTCTGGTTCTGTTTCTGGTTCTGGTTGTCATTGTCACGGTCGCGCGCACCCGGTGGTGCGGCAGCTGGAGTCCGGGGCGTAGCGATTTCGGTGACGGCGCTGGCTTCGGTGGCAAAGGATGAGCCGACGCGGGAGGAAATGCGGTCGGAGCGCCGGGGTTTCTTGGCGTCGACTTCGGCATCGGTGGACTGCTGTCGGAAAAGGCGCGTTAACAAGGCACCGATCAAGGCGGCCGGTGGACGGCGAGGCATGGCACAGAGAGAGGGCAGCGGACATAGGACAGAAGGCAAAGTTCAGATGGGGAGAAAGGGCGGAAGCTATGCAAGATCGTCAAGACATACTCGAGGCCGCTTCAAGTGGCTGCCCTCATGGCGGGCCATTGCGAACGGTCGGCAGTGAGCGAGCGAGGTTCAGCGCAGTATAAGAGGGTGGGAGGTTTCCCAAGAGTGTGTGTTGTGTGTCTTGCGAGTGTGCGTGTGTACGTGGGATGAACGTGGTTGATGGAGGTGCACGCAGTATAGTGGCAGGTGACTCGTGCGTGTGAGACAGTAGGCGCCGAGATACGACACGGCAGGATAGACAGCAAGAAGAGGAAGGCGCGGAGGAGCAAGCGAACGTGACTGCCTCTGAGGGTGGCCCGTGATTTAAACAAAAGGAAAGTGCCGGATAGTGCAGGCGATGGACGAGGGCAAGAACGCAAATAAAAATAATTAAAATCAAGAGCCGCAGCAAAGACGGTGCCAGGGGGTCCCGGGAAAAGAGGCCTACGGATGCCGCCGCTGGATGGCCAGGGTATGGATTACAATGAATTGACGGTGAGCCTTCGAGATGATGCAAATCGCGAGGGAAACGAAAAAGAGGGCGAAGGCAGAGAAGCGAAAGAGCCTTTCCCGCGAGAAAAAAAAGCGACGCCGGCGAACGGTCATTTCACAGATTTTGACCAGGACCTGCCCCCTGCCTGGCGGTCGCGCACTTGCCTTATTGGCGGCTCGTCTGGGGTTTTGGCATGGCACAGTGGAAGAAGGTAGCGAGCAAGAGAAGGTGTTTCCAGGCAGCTCCGCCCACTGGAGAGCAACATGCCGGACGCATGACTGACTGGGCTGAGTCGAAAACACGGCGCCCTCTTCCTCCAGACGCCCCAGACGCGCCCTCCCTTCTGCGCTACGTCCCTTGGGCATAGCGGCCCCTGCAGAGCGTTCCATTCTGGGAATAGGCGCAGTGCAGCCTGGCGAACACTCGATAGCTGCATCGAACGCGGTGAGTAGTCAATATGCATTAAAGCGATTAGCGGGCCATGCCGCACTGCCATCCCACGACCTGCCTTGGTCAGCCTCGCGTGTTCCTATTCGCCCCTTGGGCATTCTCACAGGCCCTGTGACGTCCTGCTGTACGGAAGTTCTTGCGGTGGCACAAGCTTGGCTTTAATTTTGGGCCTCTTTTTTCCATCGACGATTCCTCTGTTATGAGACAATTTGTCACATGGTAGTTGTCTCGTCCATAGGCCGCCCGTTCTTAAAAGTCATCCAGACGGCCAGTTTTATGATGACAGCCCGGCGCCGTCGAAAGGCTGTCGCCAAAGTATCTCATTTTTTTGCATACATAATTTAAGAAAGACAAAATCGGGACAAAAACTCCTCGTACGGTACAGTCTGGCCTCAACTTTCCGTCTACATTCGTAGAAATATAAGATACGGGTTTGGAAAAGAAATAAACATGCGCGATTGTTTATGAGACTCTGACTCACCGCGGGGTTATTTCATGCCCACCTTTTGGTTTCGTCTGTGACGCAAAGTTCAACGGCCGTGATGCTTGCTCCATTCGTTTAGTACAATTGCAATGTTCTGTGATTGTCTTGTGTCCGCCATTTTTCGTGCTTGGAGAATCGTCCACACCACAAAGGCATTTACATAGACGGTCAGAGAGAACACCGCCAATGCGCGCCAGCGAGCAATCTCAGCCTACCGTTTTCTCTGGAGACGCTGCTGGTGACGGGCGGTCTCCGCAGCAGGCCAAGCGCACTTGTGCGCCCCTGAGAGCTTGGGCGACAGGCCCCTGCATTCACACGATGGGCGACGAATGGGAAGGGGCTGCCTCACACAAGCACACTCTAGACCTGAAACATGCGGCCAATCACAGGCCAACAAAAGCAGGAACAGTAGCGATCAAGAAACAATCCAAGCCTTTAGCACCTCCCTTGCAGGCCGTTGTTTGACCCTTTATTCGTCTTATTCTGCATGTCGCTTCTATCTGCTCCACTACGATGTATGTTCAGTGAGCTTGTCACCATTCACTGGTCAAGAAAGAAGAGAGCTGCGGGTCTTACAACTGGTAAAAGGGGGTTACGAAAAGGGCGACAAGGGAGCTGGGGAGCTAGCTGGACGTCTTCAGACTTGCGCACTATGGGCCCCTGTGCCATCTTGGCCGCGATGTTCAGCCTGCGCTGCCCCCTTGCTCGTTCTTGTCCTTCGTATTCTTCGTCTCGCCTTTTCCCACAAATACTCTTGCATATTGTGCAGCCGCTTGCTTATGATGGTCGTCCGTCGGAGAAAGGTGAGAAATGAAAGGTGAAGGGCGGCCACGTAGGACGGCCTCTTAATATCCGCCTATACGCTCGCTCGACCGCATCTTCTCTTATACCTTGCATACCCAGCATCGCGTTCTTTTCTTATACTTCACATATCCGGCTTCTCCCTTCTCTTTCTTTGGACTTTCCTTCTCCTTCACTATAGAGTCTTAGGAGCAGGATCTCCACTTTGTCTCTGTGTGACGAAACTGGCACTCTCAGTCGTTCCTTCCCAGTTTGTCACACCCGCTCGCTGGTCGTTCCTTCCTTCTTGACGTCGATTTGGCATTGCCGCCAGCCCCTCCATTTTGCTGCTCAATTTTTGACAGCCGGCGAGTTCTCTGCTTCTTCTTGTTTCTCTCATTTGTTTTTCAAGCAACGATCCCATTCTGTGGTGCACAAGCAACAGCCAAGTGACCAGACTGCAATAGCGGCTCAATCTGCACCCTATCACGACTGATACGCATCCAACACTCTTCCATCTTCTCCTATTCTCGTCAATACATACCGGACTTCGCACCCAAGGCGATTTTGCGCATCTGACGAGTCTGACGATATTGGCGAGTTCGTTTCTCTCTTATTTTCTTCGCAGCCACGCTGTTTTCTCGCTTTAGAGGATCCCTTCGCCCAACCACTTGCTGGGATTGACGATCTGTGTTAGCCGCCCTCTGATCGTCGCTCTCGCACAGAGCAACCAGCCAATCCATATTTAGTGTCTTGCCCGGACCTTGGTTTTCACTCATTCTGTGATACATTCAGCAACGTTCCTGATCTTTGCAGCTTTTGATTCTTGCCTTCTGGCAGCATTTGCGGGTAGCAAGCGGAAAGATTGTCCCCAGGTCAGCTTGTCCTTGTTTGTTTGCTTGCCGATCCGATCAGGTCAAGGGCAAACGAATACGACAAAAAGACAACGTCCGCACCGAAACGTCCGCTTCTTGCAAACTCGACGACATCACAAGAAGGACGTTGACAGCATCCGCCAAATCGGAACATATTTAGAGCCACAGCATCTTGCAGCGAAGGTGGGACGCCTGTCGATTGGGACTGCCTCAACCGTTCTTCCTCTATAAGCAAGCAACGAGGGCAAAAAAGGAAGCACCAGAAATCAACAAGCAACTTTCATAAGCACATACGCCGGCCACGATCTTTTCACAATTACGACTATTTTCGTCCAAACAACAATCGTCCGCTCTCTTGCTCTGTCCGAGCTCGTTTGTTCCCTTGTTTATGCACCGCACTTGCTTTGTTCACGGTCTACCTCTCGCCACCGGCTCACCTTGTCAACATAACAATACACACACCACAAACAAAGACTAGAACAACACAATGTATCGGTGCCGCCTATAACAATTTGACGTACCACAACGGTTTGTTACTTTCAGCCTTTACGACCTGCACATTCGACCTGTGGTCGCCTTCACACGGTCTTCGTTTGTGCACCACTTTCGTCTTGTTCACTCTGGTGTTATTGTGCTGCTTAACGCCAGTACTTATAGCCTACTCCAGTCACTCGCTACCTCCTTCGGCCAAGTCAAGACCAGTTTAATCTCTCTCTTTGCTTTATGTTACAGCCACTCATCAACGAAATTATCATTAGGCGCCGGATCGCCTTCCCATCTTAATTTGCTTAGCCTCCATCACCATCGAAGAGCACCTTCCCGCCACGCATCATGTCAACACAAGCCACGGACGCCGTGGCGACAACCGCCAATGCGGCTGTAATTACCTCTCCTTCGATTTCGACTTACGATGCTGGTCTCGGTGGCGTCAACCAGGTCCAAAATATGCTTTTTAAGGACATGCTGTGGTGGAGCCTAGGTATTGTCGCCATGACCATCTTATGCATCCGACTCGTCGAGATCTCGTGGTCACAATTGCGCTTGGTCTCGGCTATGTCGCAGCCTGCCAAATTCCAGGCCTACTGGCGCAAGGCACAGTGGACGCACATGCCATGGGTCAAGAAGCAGCTCACGTACGCCCCGATCTCCGCTAAACGTCACAACCGCGAGATCCGCATCTCCTCTGCCATGAACATGGGCACCCTGCCAACACGTCTGCAGGCGGTCATGCTCTTTGCATACTTGGTCAGCAACATCGTCTACCTGCTGTTTCTCGATTACAGCCAGCCGGACCATTGGGCCACTCTTGCCGAGCTACGCGGCCGCTCCGGCACACTGGCTGCCGTCAACTTGGTGCCGTTGATGATCTTCGCCACGCGCAACAATCCTCTCATCGCCCTTCTTCGCATCAGTTTTGACACATACAACCTCTTGCACCGCTGGCTCGGCCGCATAGTGGTCTTTGAGTCGGTAGTTCACACCGTTGCGTGGTTGGTTGTCCAACTTGCTGATGGCGGCTGGGCAAGTGTGGGCTTTAAGATGCTTCACGACCGCTTCATCGCCTCGGGCATGGTCGGCATCTTTGCCTTTATCATTTTGGTCATCATCTCCATTTCGCCGCTACGCCATGCCTTTTACGAAACGTTTTTGACCACGCATATCATGCTGGCCGTGATTATTTTCGTTTGCGTCTGGGTGCACTGTGCAACGTCCTCCGCCTCACCAGGCGGCCTTCCACAGCTGCCCTGGATTATCGCCGTCGTTCTTCTCTGGTTGGCAGAGCGTCTGTACCGCGTTGGCCTTAGTGCCTACCGCTCGTGGTCGCGCCACGGCTTAGCCAATGCGGCTGTTGAGCCGATGCCGGGCGACTGCTCGCGCGTCACGTTGACTCTCCCGCGCTATGTCGATGTACAGCCTGGCACCCACGCCTACCTGCGGTTTGCCGACATCAGCCCATGGGAGTGCCATCCCTTCAGCATTGCCTGGGTGAAGCACACGCCTATCAATGGCGGCCTTTTACCAACGACCGAGAAGCGCATTGATAAGGGCAGTGACAGGGCATCCTCTTCTGCAACCCTCGCAAGCGTTAATGTAATCGAGCACGGCCACCTATACCGCACATCGGTCTCCTTTGTCATCGGTGCCCATACAGGCTTCACCCGCAAGCTCTACAATCGTGCCGTGAAGAGCTGTGATGAGTTTGGATCTGGGTCTGCCAGATTCAAAGCGCTTTTCGAAGGGCCCTATGCCGGCCACCACTCGCTCGACAGCTACGGCCACGCCGTGCTCTTCGCCGGCTCCACAGGCATCACGCACCAGATCAGCTACCTACGGCATCTCATTGACGGTTACGCCGATGGCACGGTGGCCACACGCCGCATCACGTTGGTGTGGGTGGTGCGCGACTACGAGGCACTCGAGTGGGTGCGTCCCTGGATGGATGAGATTATGCGCATGCCGCAGCGCCACGAGATTCTGCAAGTGCGCATCTTTGTGACGCGGCCAAACCAGGCGTTCCAGGCCGCCCAGCTCGGCTCGTCAAGGTCCCGCACCATCCAGCTGCACTCAGGCCGGCCTAACATCCCGGTGCTTGTGCGAAAGGAGGTCGCAGAGCAGGCGGGTGCCATGTGCGTCACCGTCTGCGGTCCTGGTGCCCTGGCGGATGACGTGCGCAGTGCGGTACGCGACGTCCTGGATGAGGGCACCGTGGTGGACTTTATCGAGGAGAGCTTCACATGGTAAGAGAGTGAAGGGGGAGCGAGGGATGAGACCGAGTGTCGTGTCAGTGCATCAGCGTTGCTTTTATTTCATACCAATCTAGATTTTTTGGCCTTTTTGGTTCCCTTTTCTGTTTCATGGCGTTTTCTTTCTTTTCTTCTTGTCTTCTCTTTTACACCATTATATCATGAACATCTACTTTCCATGTTTTCCGATTTGCATCTATTGTTTGCTGTCTGCGATAGAAGGCCGTCTTTTAGAGGAGCGTGGTGGAAATGATAACTGTGCCAGCTTGGCCTGATATCAACCTGCATGCGACACGGTGTTCACTTGGATGTTTTGGGTCTTCGTCAACATGTTCTCGTCCGAGGCAATTATCCCATAAATTTACAATTTTCGTGTACATCTTGAGACTATTTTCATATTATTTAGTGTTCAAAAAAAGTGTCAATACTTGCGATTATGTGAGCGTGTTGTTTGTTCGTTTTGGACCTCTTGTTATTTAAAACAATTGTAAACAGATGAAAGACCAGCCATATTCAGACTAACAAACAAAAAAAAACTTAATTACTAACTTACAAAATAAAAGTTACCAAAATAAAATTAAAATCCATCACTATATTTGATACAAATGTAAAAACCAGATCCCATAACTCATGGCATATTAACCCTACCGTATAACCGTTGAACGTATTGCAGATTGCCAATTAGCTGTCCGATGGTAGATGCCGCTTTATGTGACCGTTTGACCCTGCGAGCTTCACTTCTTTGATCTGATGCTTCACTGTTGCAGCACCGCGTCGCGATCCACCATGCAAACACCGGCTGTTTGCTATGAACAAAGATGCATCTGTCACCGTTCCTTATTCACTGAATTCTCCAGAACCTGGAAACTATCCTTCATATACTATCAATAGACTCCGATATCTCAAGAAGCAGATGGAGATAATGACGGAGGAAGCCTACCTTTCCTCGCCCTTACTCCCTGGCAAACGGATGAGCAGCAACAACCAGCCAGTTTGGCCGAGTGGTGATGGCGGTAGTCCTGAGAACTATTATCGAGAGATGCACAGGTTCGAATCCTGTAACTGG